AAAGTGAACCGTGCGCTTCTAGTGTTTGCGTATACTGCGTAACTTTTCAACCTGAAACTCACCACCACTTTAGTGCTTTTTATGAAATATCTTACTACTTTGATGCTGCTTTGATGTAATTCTCTTCAACTGCTGCCGAATGAGTTTTAACATGTTGCCTGGCACGTTTTTAGGATTTTTGCAGTTTTCATATCCGGCCAGAGTTAAATATATCCGCACCACTCAACTTGCGTCGCCTTGCGTTGCGTTGGGTTGCTGTAGAAATTTTGAAATTCCTTTTGCGTGTGTCAAAAATTTTATGGAGAATTGTTAAAGGTGACGAATTAGATTTTACGGAATGTGCTGTAAATCGTAAATTATATACATATTATGTGCCTTTAATTCCGTTTAAAGAAGGAAATTAAAATTTTGGCCTTTTTGTACATTTTCTTGCCCTTTCGCGCATTCTTCTTAACACTCTTTCATTCCACTCGAACGAATCGATTTTAACTATGATATCAGAACGTTTTTCTTATAACTCTCGATATCGGGAAGGACTCCAGAGATCTATGACCAAAAACTTGAAGCCAACCAGGTCAAACTAACTACAACGTGGGTTTTCATTGAAAAAATGTATTAAAAATTAGGTGTTTGTGGTGAGGGCTTCAAATTGACAATAACACGTTTCAATAAAGTAAAGCTTTCCCTGAAGTAATATCAAAATGTTGTGACATTTAACCGATTAAAAGCGGCATTATTCGATTTGTAGTAAAAGTCCTTCTGAATAGCTTATTCATACCTTCTTTTCAAAAAAAGTTAAAGTCTCATTGTGATTGACAGCTGATATGCACTTTTTAATCAAAAATTCGATCACAAGTGCAAAACGATGAGAGCAATTTTTGGTCGTCAGTCAATTTATGGAAATCCAACCGATTTTGCCAGATATTTGATACAAATATATATTTGATACATATATACGAGCATATATCACTGATAAACTTTGCCACAAGATTCGGTAAATTTCATAAAGTTTAAATCAACCCTTAATATAAATACCGCTCTAAACGTTTATGGTATACTCATATTAATAACAAAAATATTTTCAACAATATACTTCATATTTTTACAGTGTATACAGTATGTTATTGATTTACCTCATACTTACTTAATCAGTTGGCTATTACTGATATGAGTCGTTCTTGGTAGCATCCAATAACCATCTCCAGCCAGCCCAATCGATGGTTTTTTCGGTAGTTGGTCACCTGATCCTGCTTCCGAAGATGCGGACTTTCTTTACCGTGTTTTACATCAGTTGATACTGATACGTCTTTCTCGTCGCCGTTTTTTATTTTATTCGCACGATATGATTGAGCAAGCGCAGTCGATGAACTTTTATCTGATTAACTATGTCATTACCGCGGTATAGGGATTCTTTGTTTCTTGCACCTTGGCGGTTTCATTGTAAGGCTACATGTACTATTTCTTTGCACCTTTCCGAAGGGTATGTCCAATCCACTTGTATTTGCTGCGCACTATTTATGTAACTTAAGAATCCTATATTCTAAATTCCTTCTATTTCTCTCTTTCTCTTTCTCTATCTCTATCTCTCTCAATCTCTATATCAATAACTAAATTCCTATTATTATTATTGTTAGGTGACGTCGCACTGCGATCGACGGGTCTATTGTGCCCCCTTCTGGGCTTAGAGCAGATCTCTAAGCCCTGTTCCGTCAACAAAAAATAGTATAGAACGTACTTTATAGAGTTTTATTGCTTCTTCCGTAAGAATATACATTCCCAGCAGCCTAATCCGTATATCAGCATTCTAACAGCATATGTGTGGCTGACTCCACATTCTCTTCACAGAGCCTACAGTCTACAGTTTCTCTTAAGGTTGTATTTTGGTTTACAATGCCCTGTTAGGATTCTTGTGATTATTCTAAATTTTACTTACTATCCTGGTCTCTTTTTGTTATAGGTACCAATAAATTATTTGGATTGTGTTAATCCTGGTATATTATCTCAGTAATCCTTTTTATACTGGTTCTTCTTTGTTTTGAGAGAAAGGAGCGTGCTATGTCCTAGTCCCCAATAAGGTTTCGGCCCTATCATCGGTGGGGTTGCTTCTTTCCTGGCTAGTTTGTCTGCGTATTCATTTACGCGTACGACACCTGATTTGATTCGACAAGCAGATTAAGCTTATCAAGGCAGTCTTGCATCAGTTTTGGGGTCACCTGATGCCAGTTTAGTGCTTTTATCGCCGCTTGACACTCTGTCAGTAATGCGTTATTTTTACCTTGGTAATTCCGTTCAATATTGATGAGTACGCGTAAATGTCCGTTTGGAAGATGCTAGTTTGTTTTCCCACTTCTTCCCAATGCTTCTTGCAACTAAATTCCTAACTATGCTTAAAATAAAATTTTTATATAATAACTTAGAAAAGCTAAGAACTATTTGTTAATATATTCTATAGTGTTTCAATTAAATTACTAATACTTTTTTCAACAGCACGGTCCATTGTACAAAAAAAAAATTAGAGAGGAGTTGTTATAAACTCCAATCCTGGGGAATTATAAATATGCAGACTAACATTAAAATATACATTTTTTGAAAACAACTAATTGTTCACTGATATATCAGCGAAAATATTTGATTGTAAATATTTTATATGAAAAAATTCATATGTAATCAGCCGCATCTCTCCTAAACATAAATGTCATATTCTTCAGAATCCTAATATTCACTTCAACGTATAATCGGAGCACCGCTTTGTTTATACTTACATTTTGTATCTTTTGCGGTATACCAAATAATCCCTGAGAAAAATTAAGATTTAAAAATATTAGAAGTGGAAGCACCTATTCAGTGCAAACGGATAAATACATTCATCGAAGCATATCATAATAGATTTTAGTTAAAGAAAATAGCTGATGCGGAATTTGAACTGTCAGATTTTGAAAGTAAAGTATTTATGACAGCTGTAGATACCTAGCTAATGTAGGCACACAAATGCTCTTCCACCGGTACTCGACGACTAAAGGATGCCACAAAATGTGTACACAAGCACAAGAAGAAAAAAACATAATCATGAAGGAGGATAATGTGCCTTATATTCTTATGGTGAGGATTGCATTCAGTATTGAGTTTGGTAAGGCAAAATTGCACGTTTGTACATTTTTATAAAGTACAATGTGCGTCTAAATGTTATCCACAATATTTGCTAATTTGTCTTTGAACCTTAATGACACGCGTACAGGTACTTCGGCAACGATATGGGCGTTATTATTATTATTTTAACTTTGAAAAATTGTGTTACGAATGTTATGAAAAAAGTATTAGACTTGTGACAATTGATATCATTGTTTCGTAGCTGTTTCTTACTATAATACGTTTTCCAATTTGGTCGAATATTCTAAATTTGTAGTTGTGATCGCATAACAATTAGTAAACTGGGCTTTAAAACTTCACTTACGTTGCATTTGTTCATATCCTCACGTGCATTAGTGCATTTTGAAATTAAGAATAATATGGTAGCTCATCAGAAAGAGAAAGGGAGAAGTGTATACATTTTAATTAATAAATACTGAGATCAAATTTTAAAATGACTTCAGTTGTTGCTTTTAGTTTCACTTTCTTAATCAAGGTACTTTAACTTTAACTTTACTTGTACGCATATGTATTAATATTATCAAAAATTATTACTTTCTTCTTATTTTTAATTTTCTCAATACCCATAAGTATCTCGAAAGTTCTCTGTATTTGGATAGGCCTACATAAGTAAAAGTATGGCGTTTACGCAATTCTAGCTTCCGTACTTTGCTACTCATGTGTTTGTGTATGTGTGTGTGTGTGTGTGCAGCAAACATTTCTGTGCGTGCACAGTAGTAGAATTTTTTCTTCTGGCTTGAGCAAATAGCATCAAAATGGTTGAGCGGATTCAGTGTGTTGTCTCGTTTTTCAGTGTGGCTGATTTTTTAGTAATGCCCACCGAATCCAAGCAAAGTGATTGGTATGTGCGGCACAAGACTAGCGTACTTATTCACTCACACCCGTTGAGGTCTACGGTGTCACGAACATCCCAAGTTTTGTTTAGCTTATTTGACATTTGTTCTCTTTCACTCATGTGTGCATTTCCAGTTTGTGGTGTATTTGGGCTCTTACATGGGAAGTTCGCATTTACTTGGTACCTTTTTTCGCATGAGAGCATTAAGGTTTCGCATGCTAAACACGCTGTACATGTTCACGACGCAGTTGCAAATCGCGTACAATTAAACGCTTTAAACTAATCAATATTAACAGCATGTTTCAAAAATCAATCAAGTATTATCATGTATTTCGGAGCTTAATCGTTTCAAATATTTAAAATGCATTGGGATAAAACTTCCATAATTTTTAAACAAGTAAAGGTGATTTTGCAATTAATGAGAGTATACTGAAAAAGAATCGATTGGTATATTTATGGATATACTTGAAACGTAACGTCTAGTTGAATTAAATGCAAAGTGAATGTTCAAATAACAGATAAACGAAATCAAAATTCCGTGCTTTCAATCATAGTACAAAATATTTAATAACACGAAAAACAAAACGTCAAAACGTCAAAGCGTCAAAAAATTAAGAAATTAAAAAATTACTTATTACGATACTAAATGCTTATATGAAATAAAAACTTCATAAAAGTTCAATATTCTTTAAGTGAAAATTCAAAATAAACAGGACATCGAAATTTAACGAGTATTAACTAAGTTAAGAGACCCTAAAACTTAATGTACATAATTTATTATCTTAATCCGAATTATTTTTATTGGATTAAACATAAAAAAGCTTGCAAGTGATTAAACCATTATAAAAAATATGAAGCAGAGCTATTTGTGAAACAAATACAATGTAGTTTAGCATTCTATATAGAAACATATATCTTTGATTTCCTTCTATGTGTTTTTTTTTATCCAATCACAAATAAAATCTTTACTAAACACATTAAGTGAAAATTTAATTTCCAATGATGATGCTTACTACAGAACACATCATGCATGGGCATGCCTCGTCGGTTAGTCAAAGTGCATTATTCGGATGCTCTACTGCGGGGCACAGCGGCATTAATCAACTTGGTGGGGTCTATGTTAATGGAAGACCTTTACCAGATTCAACTCGTCAGAAAATTGTGGAGCTAGCACATTCGGGTGCGCGGCCATGTGATATATCTCGTATCTTGCAAGTTTCAAATGGCTGCGTTAGCAAAATATTGGGCAGGTAAGTTTTTTTCATATAACATTTATATATTATTTTGTTTTATATATAAGGCCAATAGCATGAACAAATAACAGAAAATTACTTAGAGGAATGGTACTGTTGCACAACTCGTATATAGTAGTTGCACTACCTGTGGAGAGATGTTACGAGTGAAGGTCAAAATAGTTTATAGATAAATATATTTCACTGAATTATATGTGTAGTAGTATATATTAATTTAAGCCAAACGCAAACCCATTTTAGTAGCAAAAGCTCTCATTTATAAAGCAGAATACCTATTTGACCTTATTATAAAATAAATAAAACTTATCATTTGTTATTATTCCTTCGTTATATTATACAAAAAAGCATAGGATGTAGAAACGAATAGTTAATCTATATAATTTTCAGATATTATGAAACCGGATCGATAAAACCACGCGCGATTGGTGGTTCAAAACCACGTGTTGCCACAACTCCAGTTGTCCAAAAAATTGCTGATTACAAACGCGAATGTCCCAGTATTTTCGCGTGGGAAATTCGGGACAGATTACTCTCGGAGCAAGTTTGCAATAGCGATAACATTCCCAGCGTAAGTACAGAAAATTGTAATTTTAGCTTATACTCTAGAAATATTGAATAATTCTATGTTGTAAAAAAATAAGTCAGAATCTGAACATGGCAGACAGAGCAAAAACTCTGCGTATAGCAGATACTTATACACACGTAGCTCGCTTGTGTATGCTATATAAACAGATTAAGTAAATTTTAAACAAAATAGCCCACCGCTCCTAAACTGGATTAATTTCAACAATTTTTATTTCTATTGTATCGGTTTTTTGGTCTCATTTAAACATAATGAACTTGAAATATACACACACATTTAAAAGATCCCTTATCTTCATTGATATGTATCCCTTATTTATTTTAAGCCAAAGCCTCAGTATCTGTAGCATTTCTAAAAACAAAAACTGACAATAGAAGGGATTAGGCTGTATTGGCAATATTTAAGTACATTTGTTTGTCTCGAATTTTTATAAGTACATGACGCATTTACGATCGGTACAAAACAAAAAACAATGCCGAAGTCGTCTGTTGTGCCCTGTAGATACTTTGAACATAATGTTAAAAAGAAAGACCGCTTTCTTTGTGTAAAAACCATATTATACGTTGGTGAAAGAATACAATACAACTTTTTGATTAAATGTATCTCAATTCACAATACATTATACTATATTACTCTATCGACTATTATATTCGAATAAGTTACAATATGAAATATAGCAACAAATTAATAAGCAAGATAATATATATATTATAATATATGATATTATATAATATATTATATGCATAATATATCATATAATACATAATATTTTTATTATATCATAGTACTATAGTGTTTATTATATTATATTACTATACATGTAATCATATTATATCACTAGATTTTTATTATATTATACTATATTTTTTATTATATTATATTTCTATATTTCTTATTATTTTATATTTCTTTATTTTTTATTTTATTATATTTTAATATTTTTTTTTATTATATTATATTATTTATTATATTATATTATGTCATAGTACTATAGTGTTTATTATATTATATTACTATACATGTTATCATATTATATCACTAGATTTTTATTATATTATACTATATTTTTTATTATATTATATTTCTATATTTCTTATTATTTTATATTTCTTTATTTTTTATTTTATTATATTTTAATATTTTTTTTTATTATATTATATTATTTATTATATTATATTATGTCATAGTACTATAGTGTTTATTATATTATATTACTATACATGTTATCATATTATATCACTAGATTTTTATTATATTATACTATATTTTTTATTATATTATATTTCTATATTTCTTATTATTTTATATTTCTATATTTTTTATTTTATTATATTTCAATATTTTTTATTATATTATATTGCTATATTTTTTATTATATTTTATTTTTATAGTTTTGAGCTATATTTTTTATATTATATT